CTTGTTTTATCCGGTTCATTTTGTGTTTAAATGCTAAAAAAACATATTTAGGTGTAATTTTTTGGGGCCGGGAAACAATTAATTAGTTTTCCATTATTTCTTATGGGGAAAATTCGATCACAACTCGAACTTTTTAGGATTCAATCCGGAGTTCTGAACGGATTAAATTCGAGTTCTGAGGTACCACTGTATTGTGTTTCCTAGAAGTGTATACAGCATGGAGTACATTGATACTTACATGCTGGAAAAGGAAAGTAGCAGATTCAAATGTGAACAGTGTGGACGGTGCTATAGACATGCGGGCAGCCTTGCAAACCATAAGAAAGCCCACGAAGTGGGATCCTTCCAGTGCCCTTTGTGTATTAGGGTACTCTCCAATGCTCTGGCTTTGAAAAACCACCTCCGGATCCACACCAGTAAAAAGAGCTTCTCCTGTTCTGTATGTGGAAAGGCCTTCCGGCTGTTTTCCCAACTGATTGTACACCATCAAGTCCATGGGTCTCAAGGATCTTATGAGGAATCTATAAAGAAGGACCACTTGGAATCCAGAACTATTATGCAGGAGAATGGAGAAAGACCAGACCAGAATACCTTAATCAACACTGATATGACTGATAAATTCAATGATAATAGTTCTACTGAAGAGAAAAAGTCTGTCACTAATGATTCCGTGGATCGACCATTCAAATGTGACCAATGTGAAAAGACATACCGGCACCATGGTAGTCTTATCAACCACAAGAAATCACATCAGCTTGGGGTATTTCAGTGTTCCATCTGCTACAAGCAGTTCAACAACCTTGCAGCTCTGAACAACCACCAGCGCACTCACACTAAATCTAAGTTTCAAACCACACCTGTCCACATTTCTACCCAGCCCCAAGAAGCTGTATCTGATCTGTGCCTTACTGCTTCCCAAAAGAGTGCAACTGCATGGTTTTGCAACTTGTGTGACATATCTTTTCCCAAAAAGAGAAACTTAAAAGAACATATACTCATGCATAGTACATCATCTTCTGCCAGTGAATTATCAGACAGTTGTTATTATGCAGACTCTGATACTTTCTTACATTCTAAGAAACACTTTCCTCCCTCACACCAATTGGACAAATGGGAAGCTGGTGAGCATACTAATAATCAGTTGTATACCTGTGCATACTGTGGGGTAAAATATTCTGACTTGGAAAACCTTAAAGACCACTACTTGACTCACAATTCTCCATCCACCTCAAGCCCTCAATCAGACTCTCAAATGCCAGACTCTAAGCAGTCTGGCCATGGATTACAAGCACTGGAAATGGCATCTGGCAAAGAAGCAGAAGTGTCAAATTCTTTATCCGAGGATACTAAAGATCGTCGGTTCACATGTCACATCTGTGGGAAAAGATACCGTCATGCAGGTAGCTTGATTAATCACAAACATTCTCACCAGACAGGCAGCTACCAGTGTTCAATCTGCTGTAAATACTACCCACATCTTGCAGCCTTGAACAGACATTTACGCAGCCACAGGACAACATCGCCTGGTTTGCCTTTTGATATAGAGGGAGATTGGCTTTCTCCTGAACCATTAACACTTGAGTTACAGCAGAGTTCCTGTAATAATCAGGACCAGGAAGATAACAGTTCTCCGTTACATGACAATGTTGTTGGTATTTCACACCAAGTTTATTATAACAGCAATATTGATGGGCTAAATGAGATTCATGAACAGGACAGGTTAGAACACACACTTCTACCGTCAGTTAACCAAATGGAAGAGAGACACATGTGTGCAGACTGTGGTGAAACATACAGAGACATTACAGGGATTAAGTCACACTTGTGCCCCCAGAGGTGCCAACAACAACAGTATATAACAAGTGGTATTTTAGCTAATGATAAAGAAGAATGTCCTCTACAAAACTGCAGGGACCTTAAATGGAACAACAAGCAAGGAAGTCTTTCCCTTATAAATTCCTGTAGTGGTGACACAAAGGAGGATGATGGAGAAGCGTATCAGTGTTCAGAGTGTGGGAATCACTACACAAGCCTTTGGGCACTGAAAAGTCATTTGTGTGGGAAAACTCATTTCCAAGGTATACCCATGAGCATGGACTTGTCCTCCACAAATGAAGAGAACTGGAGAATGATGGAAATGGAAGGCAGTTTAATCATCTGCAGTACCTGTGGAGAAAGCTTTTTCAACGAGCATGACTTGCAAGCACATCAGCCCCTTCATGGGCAGGATGGGACAGATGAGGTTGCACAGAACAAGACAGACAATACCTACAGCACAGATGTGAAAACAGAGGAAAAAAGCCACATCTGTGGAGAATGTGGTATGTTTTGTACAGAGTACAATGAATTAGAGGCTCATGAGTGCGCTGTTAAAGGAAAAGGTAAAAAACTAAATGTGGAAAAGCAAGTTGATGGTCCAAGATATTTCCAGCCAAATCTTGATTCAGGAGATCATCCCCACAGGTGTGATCAGTGTGGCCGAACTTATAGGCACCTTAATTCTCTTCTTAATCACAAGAAGTCACATAGAACTGGGGTTTTCCGCTGCCATGTTTGCCAGAAGCGCTTCTATAATCTGCTGGCCCTCAAAAGTCACCATAGGACTCATTTTGATTTGAAGAGGTAAGCGTTGTGCCTACTGTCATATTCTTTATATTATTTTGTGCAGAGCTGTTTTTGTATGTTTGGGGAAAAAAATTAAATAAATATAAATATATATATATATATATATATATATATA